GCATGTTTGGTGAAGATCCAATTAAGCAAACCAGTCCACTTGGGTATAATAACCATGGAAACTAAAATAGATCTCCAACCTACGTAGATAACAAACTTGCCAACATCAAAGCTTCATAAAAGATACAGATGTTAATCTTCACCATTACCATTAATAGTTGATATCTTTCACTTAAAAGGCTCCAGATTCTCGCATTTTGAATCAACTTCTGGTCCACTGTAATTCTTAGTCGAGATCTTTCTTTCACCACAATCATTCCAAACTTGCTAATTCAGTTCCATTGCACCAAAATCTGCTTACTCAAAATCTCCATTAAGGATTGTGACTTGATTTGCTATGCTGTTGGATGAATCTCAAGAATTGGTTGGCAAATTGGCCTCTCTTTGCCTTCTTAAGATTTCTTCTTCTAAGTACAAGAATGATTCTCTCATCTTCTTGCCGTCACTGTTTTTCAATGCCATGTATTAGAGTGCACAATTAATTTAAAGCCCTAATACCTAAAATATGATTAATGAGGTATAATTTGAAATTTGCATGAAACAGAAACCAAGCAAGCAGTTTTATTAATGGAGGAAACTAGGCAACATGTAAGAAATAAAAATCTCTCAAATCCCTTCCCTCTCTAGTTCATTGACTCCATGTTGCTGTCGGACAATTTTTTCGATTGATTAATTATGAAAATATGGTATATGAAAATAATTTTTGAGATTTAATTTAAGTATAAAAGATATATAGTTTGAGTTTTAAAAGTAGTGTGTTTTAGTTTTTTTTGAAAAATGAGACCAAATGGATCTCATTCGTCCAATAGTTTGCATAATCGTGTCTGATACCGCGAATACTACACCCTCCCGAAAGATAAGTGTAGACCTCGGCGATAGACCCAATCCAGCAAACTAAGAGATTTGTGACATCCGTTTAGTCTGTGAACCTTTTATATATGACCGACAAGTTCCCCTATTTAATACAAAGATTAAATAGGGTTTATTTTATCTGGGTTCCAAGTTCCCTATAGAGGCAAGCTCCTATAGTTAATTACATCCCAAATGACGGGAATCATTTGAAAAAACTCTCGATAATGATCAATGGTTCTAGTCTTCAAGAATTCAAGGTTCAGGTTTTCAAGGTAGGACGTAGAAGGGCAAATGGGAGTGGCTCAAACATGAACAGTTATTTC